ATGCATGGAAGGGATTGTAACCATGGCAAGGAAACAATATGCGATGGGATCAGTGTAAAGCTGATGTCTTCCCATGTAAACTATCACATAATTCACAATAAAGTATTAAAAAAAAAAAATGAAGCTGAGATAAAGTCCTTTAACTTTGGACCCCGGAATCCACCATTGCCCAGACTTCTCAGTACTATGAGCCAAAAATCAGTATCCTCTTTTGCAGGGTGCACACAAATCTGAATTGTTTTCATCATTTTCAACTGAAAGACTTCTGGCAAATTCTCAGGTACATGGTTGGTACTCAATAAATGTGTATTGAATGGATAAATTTTAAAGCTAATTCATTTTTAGTGTATTAACCAAGCCTATAGTTAGTTACTGAGCCTGGAAACCTGCAGCAGACCCCAGAAGGTGGTAAATCACCTAAGGTAATGAATGCTTCCCTGTGGCCTCAGGAAGTCGCCAGCCCAGCAGTCTCTTTGGCAACATTCCAACCTATCTTGGATGGATGCCATTTCCTTTAAAAATTCCTGTAAGATCTCTCTCCCTTGCCAGGCTGAAGGAGAGCATGTCAAGTATCGAGTCCCTGTCTCATTCATCCCTAACAAGAAGCAGTAATTGGCACATTGGCATTCAATGACTGTTCAATGAAGGAAAAACTCCAGCCCCACCACTTGTTGACAGAAGCCAGAATCTAATATCAAAATGTGAGAAAAACAAGGATATCTTTCCCTATCCTGAAAGCATTTGGCATCATCTTTAAAATAGGCATCCAGGAACAGACCATATAGAATTAGAGTTTAGGACTAGAGACAGTCTGCATCAGAACTGATCTTTTTTTTTTTGCAGAGAAAAGACTGAGTGAGACACAAGATGATTAGATTGATTTGTCCAGTGGAACAGTGCTTGAGGCACAGGCTGAAATCCAAGATTTATGAGAATTCTGAGTCACTGTGTGATCCAGCCTCCACAGCCCAGACATAGAAACGTCTGACACTGAACACTTGAGCAGCTGTTGTGATACGATGCATTTAAACACTATCCTGTAACATCACCTGTGAGAAAGCTAGAGACCTTCAAGGCGCATGCTTAATGTCTCCTCAGAGGACACATCATTTTGCACACTCATGCCTAAATTCGTATACGTTCCCAAGGGCTGACAGTCTTCACCATATTTTGGTCCTTTATTTTGCCACAGATTCCAAATGCTAAAGGAAAAGTTGTATAGCAAAAATGTTTTCTTCCCAAATCTTTTTAAAATCAACACAAGGCACTAAGATAAAAAGTTGGGTTTATATTGTGTCTGTAAGTAAATGTAGAGTTCCTGGGTGGTGTAAGCAGTCTATCCACTTGGCTGCTAACCAAAAGGTTGGAGGTTTGAGTTTATATGGAGGCACGTAGCATGAAAGGTCTGGTAATCTACAGACCAAATTATCAGCCTCTGGAAACCCTCTGGAGCACACGCCTCTACTCTGACATATAGAGGGTCACCATGAATCACAATCCACTTGATAGTAACTTGGCTTTTCATTTTTAGGCAAATGTAGTTACCACTCTCATAAAAACTTTCTAGTAATTTTTTCAAGTCTTGCCAAGAAAAAAGTTATATAAGTAAAAATGTCAGCAAGTTTAAAAAAAATCTCTATGATGTTCTCAAAAAGTACTGCTACAAAATCATAGCAGCTTTTATTAAAAATATCAAAGTGTGAAGTTTCTTAACATGTCCTCCATCTAGGTCTACACACTTAGGAAGGCAAGGTTTCCATCTCTCTAACACTTTGATGTTATGATGTCATTTGCTGGTGGGGTACAACTTAAAATGAAGAAAACCAACTGTAAATGTCCATTAATAATCAGAACATGGAATGTACCAAGTATAAATCTAGGAAAATTAGAAATTGTCAAAAATGAAGTGGAACATAGAAACATTGGTATCTTAGGCAAAAGTGAGCTAAAAAGGACTGGTATTGGCCATTTTGAATCTCACAACCACATGGTTTACTATGCTGAAATGACAGATTGAAAAGGAATGGTGTTGTATTCATTGTCAAAAAGAACATATCCAGATCAGTCATGACGTACAATGCTGTCTGTGATAGGATAATATCTATGCACCTATAGAACCAACAGATCTGTGTTGGAAAAAGTGAAGCCAAAGTGTTCCTTGGAGGCCAGGATGGCCAAATTTCATTGCTCATACTTAAGACATATTGTCAAAAGGGACAAGTCACTGGAGAAGGATATCATATTTGGTAAGGTGGAGGATCAGAGAAAAAGAGGGAGACCCCCAACGAGATGGATTGGCCAAATGGCAGCATCTATGAGCTCAAGCTTGGCAACACTAGTGAGGTTGGCCCAGGACCAGGCAGTGTTTCGTTCTGCTGTGCATGAGGTCTCTATGAGTCAGTAGCTGACTGTTGGCACCTAACAACAACAACATAGGGAAGCCCAGTTAATACCACTATTATTCAAATTTACACACCAACCACTAAAGCCAGTGAGGATAAAATAGAAGAATTCTACCAACTTCTTCAATCTGAATTGATCAAACATGCAATCAAGATGTATTGATCATTACCAGTGATTGAAATGTAAAGGTTGGGAGGAAAGAGGAAGGATCGGTAGTTGGAAAATATGGCCTTGGTGATAGAAATGATGCTGTAAAACGCATGATAGAATTCTGCAAAACCAATAATTTGTTCATTTCAAATACTTTTAGATACCATAAGAGATGTTTATACACATGGAACTCACCAAATGGAATACACAAAAATCAAACTGACTACATCTGTAGGAAGAGATGATGGAAAAGCTCTATATCATCAGTCAAAACAAGGCCAGGGGCAGATTGTGGAACAGACCATCAATTGCTCATATGCAAATTCAAACTGAAGCTGAAGAAAATGAAAACAAGTCCACGAGAGCCAAAATATGACCTTGAATAATATCCCACCTGAATTTAGAGATCATCTGAAGAACAAATTTGACACATTAAACACTAAAGACCGAAGACCAGAAGAGTTGTGGGATGACATTAAAAACATATATGAAGAAAGCAAAAAGTCACTAAGACGACAAGAAAGAAGGAAAACATCAAAATGGACATCAGAAGAGACACTGAAACAAGCTCTTCAGCGTAGAGATGCTAAAGCAAATGGAAGAAATGAGGAAGTACAAGAGCTGAACAGAAAACTTCAAAGGTCAGCTCGAGAAGACAAAGTCAAATATTACAACAAAATGTGCAAAGATTTGGAATGAGAAAACCAAAAAGAACACACTCAGCATTTCTCAAGCTGAGGAACTGAAGAAAAATTCAAGCCTCGATTTTCGTTATTTAAGGATTCTCTGGGCAAATTATTGAATGATGCAGAAAGCATCAAAAGATGATGGAAGCAATACACTGTACCAAAAGAAAATGGTTAATGTTAACTGTTTCAAGAGGTAACATATATTTGATCAAGAGACAATGATACTGAAGGAGGAAGGCCAAGGTACATTGAATTAATTGGCAAAGAACAAGGGTCCGGGAATTGATGGAATACAAATTGAAATCTTTCAAGAAAGTGAGGCAAAAGAAGTCACTGTACACAGAGTCACTGTACCAAGAGGAAGTAGTTAATGTTCAACCATTTCAAGAGGTAGCATATGATCAAGAGCCAATGATACTGAGGGAGGAAATCCAAGATGCAGTGAAGGAATTGGCAAAGAACAAGGCTCTGGAAATTGATGGAATAAACATTGAAATCTTTCAAGAAAGTAAGGTGACACTCCAGGCACTCACTCATCTCTGCCAAGAAATTTGGAAGACAACTATCTGGCTAACTGATTGGAAGAGATCCATCCATATTTGCACCAATTCCAAAAAGTGACCCAAAGGAATGCAGAAATCATTGGACAATATCTTTGATATCCCATGAGAGTAAAGTTTTACTAAAGGTAATACAGAAATGGCTGCAGCAAGCATACATAGACAGAGAACTTCCAGAAGTTCAAGCTGTATCCAGAAGAGGACATGGAACAATGGATATCATTGCTGATGTACGATGGATCTTGGCTGAAAGCAGAGAATATCAGAAAGACGTTTACCTGTACTTTATAGACTACGTAAAGGCTTTATTGTGAGGCTCATGACAAGCTATGGGCAACTTTGTGAAGTATGAGTATTCCGGAACACTTAATTGTGTACATGGACCAAGAAGCAGTTGTTTGAACAGAATATGGGAACACTGAATGGTTTCAAATTAAGAAAGATGTGCGACAAGGTTGTATTCTTTCACCATACTTATTTAACCTGTATATGAGCAAATAATCCAAGAAGCTGGGTTTTATGAAGAAAAATGTGGCATCAGGATTGGAGGAAGACTCGTTAACAATATGCAGATGATACAACCTTGCTTGCTGAAATTAAAGAGGACTTAAAACATTTACTGATGAAGATCAAAGAGCACAGCCTTCGGTATGGATTGCATCTCAATGCAAAGAAAACAAAAATCCTCACCACTGGACCAATAAACAACATTCTTATCAATGGAGAAAAGATTGCAGTTGTCAAGGACTTCATTTTTCTCAGATTAATTATCAACAGTCATGGAAGCAGCAGTCAAGAAATCAAACAATGTATTTCATTAGGCAAATCTGCTGCACAAGATCTTTTTAAAGTGTTGAAGAGCAAAGATGTCAGCTTGAGGACTAAGGTACACCTGACCCAAACCATGTTATTTTCAATAACTTCATATGTATGCGAAAGATGGTCAGTAAATAAGACTGGAGAAGAATTGATGCTTTTGCGTTATGGTGTTGGAGGAGAATATTGAAAGTGCCATGAGCTGCCAAAAGAACCAACAGATCTGTGTTGGAAGAAGGGCTGCCAGAGTGCTCCTTGCAGGCCAGGTGACTCATACTTCGTCTCTCATACTTCAGACATATTGTCAGGCGGGACCCAGTCACTGGAGAAGGCTATCATGTTTGGTAAGGTGGAGGGTCAGAGAAAAAAAGGAAGACCTCCACCGAAATGGATTGGCAACATGGCAGTATCATTGGGCTCAAGTGTGGCAACAATTATGAGGTTGGCCCAGGACCGGGCAGTGTTTCAAGTTCTGTTGTACATAGGGTCGCTATGAGTGGATACTGACTCTATGGCACCTAACAAACAACAACACTTTGAGCCTCCCCTACACCTATCACCCAAAGAATCCTAAGCTCTTCAATTAACACATCAAAATGGCAGTTTGGTCATCATCCTGGGATTCAAATCCTGTTCCTTTTAAATGTTGATTTGGGGAAGGAACAAAACGAAGAGCAAGATCAGGGCTGTAAGGTGGATGTGGTAAGGTTTCTTGATGAAAATTTCATAGGTCGGCCCTTGCTAGAATGCTAGAACCCTTAAAGAATGAGCAAGTCATTGTCGGGATGGGGGAAAATTCCTCAATTCCACTATTCCTTTTTTCTCATCAATGAAGTTCTCAATATTCTTAAAGCTTCTTCCAAATAAGCCCCTGTGATTATCCTGTGTCCTTTGAGAAAATCTATCAAGATGACCCCTTGGGAGTCCCCAAAACTAGTCTCCATCATCTTCTGAGCTGACCTCTCGTCCTTGAATTTAACTGGCCCAGCAGATCTCAGAAGCCACTGTTCTGCTGGACTTTTTTTTATTTTAAGACTCCACAGCACATAACCACCACCACCAAGGAGACTAAGACAAGCGTATTAGAAAACTTGTCTGTTGCCATCCATTGATCGTATACATGTTTAAACATATTTTGTTTATAATAAACACGTGCATGTATGAACTGGAACCATATAAACAATGCTGTTTTACTTACTTTCAATATAACAGGCTCTTAGAAGTTTTTCCTGACTCTTTCTGAATGCTATTTGGTGTTCTAGTGTGATGCTATGGGATAAAGCACTGGACCAAAAGGTCAGTTTGAACCACAAGATCGGTGGTTCAAACTCATCACCTGCTCCTTGGAAACCCTATGCAGGCACTTAACAATAGTGTGACTTTGTTTGCTCACTGCTCTATACTGATATTTTCCTGCAGTACTAAATAGATCCACTTAGCATACATCTGTATATTTAACTGATAAGAAAAGGCTTATTGAATTACTTTAATATGCTTCATGTTCTTTAAGAAGTCCTGGTGTGGCACTGCAGGATAATGCACTGGACTGTAAGGTCAGTTATAACCACAAGTTCAACAGTTCAAACTCACCAGTCACTCCTCGGAAACCCTATACAGGGTCTCTATGAGTCAGAACAGACTCTACGGCACTTAACAACAACATGCTATATAAAAATAAAAAATGGGATTAATGCTTTTCAATGTTCATTTGAATTGCTAGTTAAAATTTAAACCTCCCAAAATACATTGTCTTACAAAACTTTTGTAAATTTAAATCCTAAATACACACATGCTCTTAATACATTAACATTATCTTTGTATACTCTGTATATACAATGCATTGAGAAAATAGGAAATGGTTTATTTTTTATTTGAAAGTGGAGACCTTTGGCTTCAAACCTAACACTCAACACTCCTAAAGGCATGAAGATCATGAGCTGAGTAACTTGTAGGTCCTGGTCACTGAACATCTGCAACCAGGTGCGCAATCAGGTCTTTGGCGTCTTTCATGATAGAGGGGATCTCTGAGCCATTCTCAGTAACTTGGGTCCCAAACAAGAACATCTTCCTGTCGTTTCCCACCTCAGATAATGCCAAAGCATCGTGGATATCTGTGATATGATATGCTGTTTCAAGGTCCTTGATCCAGAATGGAAGAATAGAAAAGTTGGTTATTTTGCAATCCTTTTGGAAAGATATGTCTTATTCACCACTGTTCAACAAACTCATCATTTGTTATAGAGGACATTGTGAGCTCAGTATTAAGACCCCAGAGGTTGTTTGAATACAAACATTTTCACCAGAACTATACCAACACATACAAATTATCATTAAAAATATTTCTGGAATGTTGAATTAGCAAATGTTGTTATATATATATATTTGTTTTTGTTTTTACAACAGGTTTTAAATTATATTTTCTGAAATCAAGCCAAGCCAATATAACTCTTGATCAGCTTTCTATAGTCTACTACCAAGTTTGTTCTATTGTTTCTCCCCAAGATTATTTAATATGAGTAAATCTTTTTCATTTATATTTAACCACAGAAATTTGATTCATTAGTCATTTTTTGTCCGTATCAATTTTAGTGACTATGATGTCTTCAGCAATTGTGAGTTTTGATTTGTGACTATTCTACTAGAAAATCCTACTTTGGATCAAATTTTGGGAGGTGGAGGGAGACAGAGAAGGGAGCAGGGACAGCGTGGGTTTAGAAAATGGGATGGTGGATGAGGAAGGTAAAGAGTGGAAAGACCAGAAAAGAGAAAGAGGATGGGACTTTAGAGAAGGGCGAGGCTGGAGGGAGGGAAGCCCACAGGGATGCGTAGAGAGGTGGGTGTGGTTAGCTGGTTTCGAGTGGATGCTGACTTAAGCTGAAGGGTTGCTGTTCGAGCCCACCCAGAGGCACCTGGGAAGACAAGCCTGCCAATCTGCTTCCAAAAGATGACAGTTCATGGAGTAGTTCTACTTTGATATCTTAAGTCACCATAAGGCAAGAGGGTAGGGGTTCAAATTGGAGAAAGGAAGCTTGTGTTTATTCTAAGATCCAAAATGCCTGGAAGTCAAAACGGCAAGGTCAAAACAATTCTTTCATATGTCAAGAATTATGAAAATGAACTCACCAATTTCTTTCATAAATATACAAGTATTAGCATTTTCTCTTCTAAAACTCACTGACAATTGGCTTTTTGTTGCTTTATTATAGTGTTCTCCCTAAACTGGAAATAATTTGGTATTGTGTCATTCCACCACTGAGGTGCTGTACCTGCTTTTTGGCTGAAGTTAATTATATAGATGGATGTTGGTAGTCTCAATATATTGCTCATTTGAAACCTGCATTCATGCACTCCTAGAACCTGTCATACCTTTTATTAACTGTGTTAACAAATGTTTTAACATGTGGATGATGTTGCAGGCTAATAATGTCATGGTATGGGAAAGGAAAATAGTGGGAGAAGGAAGGTGTCAGATGAGAGAGGGTACTTCTTGTAATGATACAGCACAGCAAGCACAAATACCATTTTATTCCACACTTATGGACTTGTGTCTTAACAGAGGTCATTACCCAAAGAGTAAAGAGAGATGAGACTTTTTTTTTTACCATTATATAAAAATTTGCACCAATAAGTTATCTAAAAACACAGACTAAGAAAAGAACCCTCTATCACTGACAGCTCACTAGGTAAGGGCTCAGCTGCTAACCAAAAGCTGAACAAATGTTA